TTGCAATAAGAACCAACCTGAAGATGACGATATTTTTCACCGAATCGCTTCGCATGTATACCCAACATACTTTGTCGAACACCCGGTACAGCTGCATACAGTTCTCTTAACATACCAATAGAATTATATGAAAGTGAAATGAGCTGAAGTTTATCCAAGACTCACTCAAGTGCACAAACCTTAAACGATTTTTGCCATTATTGATATCGTACAAAGCCAACGAAAAGAGAAGAGCATCACGGAAATGTGTGCCAGATGACAGATCTGAGTCGTAGATCAGTGGTATTGCTAAACGCCAAAACGCAACTGAATTATAACCGAGCAACGAAACGAAACATTCGAATGGTGCATCGTGCTGCATCGTGAATGATAAACAAAACTCCAATATTATCGTCATACCCTAAAAACGGCATTATCAAAGAAGTAGATTCTAAACACTTTCACTGCAGTAATTGGGTGTAATCCAGTGCTGACCTGAAAGGCAATTTCGGATGTTTTATCGCGAGCTTTCCATCGTTTACATAACACTCTGGATGCGTCTTCAAGGAACACGTCCACACTCTCTGCTTCGGACGGTTTTTCACCTAATTTTGTCAGCACTTCCGAAAGTTCCTGAAGTATACATTATAACAATGATAATAATGATTATCATTCTTACTACTGCACACAACAAAATGTAGACAAATTATAAATGCTCTTCAAGAGTAGACACTCACTCGTCGAACACGACCAAGCGGATCGGTTTCGTTGTGAATACTTGCTGCACTTCGCTGAAACGGTCGATCGGCCACCAGATTCGTCGTTGTTACGATTGGCTTCGTTTTACTCTCCTGCATGAACTCATCATCATCAACATGAACACTTTTCATGTTCGCATTGGCTGCTCCATTCAGACTGTTACCCTTTTCTTGCGTTACCCCAACTTTATCGTCAGCTTTAGTATTGCCACCCTTTGTTGCATTACTATCCGTCTTTAACGCCGTTTGACCGTTCGTCATTATTGTTACGTGCTGCGTAATCGATGGATGTTCCCAATACCGATGGATACTTTGCTACGATATGATAATAACTGTACTATTCCTTGTGCCGATATTTGTCCACTGCAAAACAAATACTTACTGATTCGAGTATTTTCGTCAATATGAATTCCGCTGTTGACACGAACTGACACATGAACCATTCGTGAACATAAACATCGTTGAAGTGCAAATGAATGAAAACAAGCAAACAAACAAAGAGATAAGTAAATATTCGATAACGATGATGAGACGATTATGATCAATAACATCGTCGTTCAAGACGAAAATCATTTTAATAAACTGAAAACTACGAATGTTAAATGAGTACACATAAATAAACAGTAAACATTGATCGGTGAACCTACAATATTATGACAACAATTCATAATGTTCTGGTGTGCGTATATGGTAGCATCACCCAATCGCCTTCAACATGACAGCTTATATCGATTCAACGTCAGCGGCCTAGGAAGCCACTTAGCGTTAGAATGCCATGGCGCTTAATGCCGTCCGTCTACTTTATCTCCGCTCGTCTTTTTAGAACGAAAAAAGTCTTGTCGGTAGTAATAACTGTTACCATTATCACTATCACTGTTGTGTCGATACAAAAGAAGTGAAGGCAAAACGAAAAATAAAGATGAACCGAACAAGGGTGTAAATATTGCAACTGATTTTTTTATGAGGCGTACGGTGATTCAGATTGTCAACAGCACCAATAACAATAATAATTTGTGATGCGTTTTTTTGCCCTTTGCCCTTGCAAAATTTCGTCGTCTTATGCCGCCATTAGAGAACGCACATGACGGCGACAAGAAACGCTTCTTCTACTTGTGTAAACATTTTTATTTTTCATAAAATGAGGCGGCGTTTCATACGTTCGCAGATGATCGTTTAAGGGCAAAGGTGACGGACAGAAATTATTACGAGAACGTGAACGTGATGGTGTTGAAAAGAAACATATTATCAGTAACACATTAATAATGTTGCATTTTTAAATGATGGTAGCAAAAAGAAAATGAAATGATCGTTAAAATCACAATGATAAATTAGTTATTCAACTACAACAACAACAGTTCTTACCACTTGCATCGCTACTAAACGAGTGCCGCTGCTGCTGTTGCTGCTGATATAAGTGATAAGAAGGTGATAAACGAAATGAAAAACAATAAATATTATACTGATAATCACATAACAATTTTTATTCGCAATACAATGTAATTCGCAATCAGTGATAATTTATTTCGAAATAGAAACAAACAAATACATTTATTTGTGTGCAAACAGTAACCTTTTTCATTGCAATGTATCTTTGGCCACTTTATATTGTGCTATTTTTAAAGTACACATGATAACATAGAAATGATAAAGAGCTTTTTATTCTCATCTTACATAATGAAGAAAATGAATCATAAATATATGAATAGCAACCTCGTTGATGATATAATATCTATGGCTGAAGATGAAGGCAGATAAATGAATGCATTAGAAAGGTTACAAACAAAACACAATTGCTAAAATTGCAACTAGTGATGAATATCTGCTTTTAATGACACTATATACCATTCGGTTTACAGCAAAGCTTTTTTCCGCGAACGGGAATCAAACCCGCAGCATACCAATTTGTCGGTTTGATGTTCTACTTCTAAACTATTGCGGAGACCGACCAGCCCCGCCGAGTGGTCATTAAGCTTGCAACCAGTTCGTTAAAGCAAATAATGCGAAACTGATTTGATGAGCGTCAAGCCCTACAATCAGAGTTAACTGATCTATAAGCGATCATAGTAATTAGCTCTCTCTGCTTTTAGCTCGTTAAAATGGGAGGCTGTGGGAATAAATAGTGTTAATGTTGCTATTTGGTAGTTGTTGTTAGAAATGGAAACTAAAATTGGCTAGCACACAATACTGCTGCGTTACATTTATTATTATTATTATTATTATTATTATTATTACCGTTCAATATTTTAGAACAATTGAATTAGAATGGATACGAAGATTACTTTAGAACAAGGAACTTGTTTAGGAAATGAAAAGAAAAATAAAGTAAATGAAAGCTTAAGTGTGCCTGCTAGCCCGCCAAAGTCGACTGTTGAAAGTAATGATGAGAAACGAAAAGAATGAGAGAACGAGCAGGTGTTGTTGTTGAGAGATGCAATGAACGGCTAAAGAAAACGAAACGAAACACAACCAAACAATCATAAATGATAAGAGAAATGAAATTGTTCTAGAAATGTATGTGCTTCTTGAATTATCACTTGCCGCTGTGTTCTTAAAGTTTTACTGATAGTGATAATGAGTGTTCTATTTGATGATACAAGAGAGTCGCTAGAGAAACAATAATGTTCTATTGCTAATGTCATCGCAATCTCATCACTTGTTGATGTCTGATAACTTGTGATTGTGCTGTTAAATGCATGATAATATCATCAAATCGGATGGATATGACACTTCATTTAAGGATAACGATAAGAGTGAAACGTACTTAGTGATGATGAACAAAACCATTCGTATAAATTCAATAATTAATCACATTTGACGAAGGCAATCAAACCCAATGCGTGACGCTCCAACTCTTTCAGATTGTAAACGTTCTTCGAAAGTTCTTCAATTTTCGTATATATCTCATTCAGTTTTCGTCGTGTCAGTTTATTCTGAAGGTAATTACTGTTGTGATCTTATGACTGCTATGACTGGTTATTATTGAAATTTGTTCATCACAACTCTTGGCTTACTTCTGCTTTCTCGTTTTGCAATTGTTTTTGCGTGGCTGCTAAACGATTTTTTAATTGTGCCAACTTTTCACGATAACAAATTTCGTTCTCTTCCAGTTTTCGCACATGGTCTCGTATCTAAAAACTCCAGCTAACATAACAAAACCTAAAACAATAACAATAATAACAGTTCATATTATTGTTGCTCTTCATATCTGCTTTCGCTGAAGGGCAAAATTACAACGAATCAATACATCCAACGCATTATTTCTATTACCTAAACATATGGGTATTCACCAACTTTATGATCGCTGAATTTGAGACGGAGAGTTTCAAAAAGTTTCTTTTGCTAAAATCGATCAAAATGGAAATCTTACTCAGTGTCAGCAACTCTTAAAGATTCTTTGAAATCACTTTTTTTTTCATATTTTCTTCGAATATAGTTGAAAGTGCCAAATGTTTGTGTGAGGATACAACTGACGAACGTTTTGTTTACGAACAATTGTTTCAGCAAAAAAATTTGCTTTACTCAACGAACAATGCTTCTTTTTACGAACGTTTTTGTAAGAATTTAGAGAATTATTCGTCATGCTCCCAAGCATATAAGAGGATTGAGGATCTTTGCTTAGCATCCCTCGGCTTATCGAACAGCACTTATCAAGAAGTATTTCGGTCAACTTCGACGCAATATGTTTTGTCATTTCTGTTATGAAACTAAAGTTGATATTCTACGCTGGCATTATAAAGTTGTACTGGCAAGAAACGGAAACGACTGAACTAGTTGTTCATCGAAGTATGATTTGTTATAGTATATAACAAATCATACTTCGATTTACGAACACAATGCGTTCGTTGTTCGTTAATCAACCTTGCACTATATTTCCAATGAGCAACTCCATATCAAAATATGTTTATTTATGCTCAACACAGAAGTGTGAATGTTTCTTTGGTAGTTCATAACTGTGATTAGACTTACAACCCAATCTGACTTATGACGACCTCGGTCCCGTAAGACATCGAATACCTGTATATCACTAAACAAAATATTTCACATACTGAATATAACCGTATATTTTCAGATAAATGAAAGGCATATTTCAACGAAGAAATGCTGTATCATATCACAATGATTTTTTCCTAACAAACAATTGAGTAACATATGTAATAACATTATACCTTTGCAGATACGTTTTGCTCATCGACGATTCGACTCTCAAGTTCATTACAATGTTCTTGAATTGTCTTCAATCTCACTAAGTTCTGATTTTTAATATTCTCTTCGTTGTCTCTTTCTTCACTCAATATTACGCACTAAACGATTTATCAGTGTTGTTGGTATATGTAAAAATATGACCATTCTTATTAATATTAATATTGCAAATGAAGCAAAAGAGCATCAACATGCTATCAATCAAATCTTACCGTTGTCTTAAGGCGTATAATTTCATTCTCTAATTCGAGTATTTCTTTACGATGTTCTTCATTTTTTGTCTTTTCTTCTCTTCGAATATTTTTAAATTTTTGATTGTTTTCATCGTTCACTTCTTGAAGATACGTTTTCTGCTCTTGTATTGTCATTTTCAACTATAACAATACAAATAAATGTCAACAAATAAATAAATAAGTTAATATAGTTGGACGACATAAGATGAAGGATATACGAACGAATAAGGGGTGTACAGGCATCTTTAAAACATCTATTTACTTGCCTGATCAATCGTTTTTTGGTGTGCTTGAATTTGTTTGCGAAGATTCGTCTCAGTGACATTGAACGAGCTTATCAGTCGTTTTCGTTCGCCACTGAATCTTGAATCGCGTTCTCTTAAAGCGTTCTCGAAACTCTCTTCTGCTTCACAACTTCTTTGCAAATGCTCCTCAAAACGCTTCTCAAAATTCTGCTTCTGACAACGAATTTCATCTTCGTACAACTTACGCAAATTCTCCATTGTCACGCCACTTAATGCTTGTACATTTTCCAATTTTTCTTCAATACGCTAGAAAAAAACAAACACTATTAGCATTGCTTATGTCATGCAGTGATAAAAATTACCCACATCAGTGGTCATTGTCCGAAGATCCTATAGTTGGCCACTGACAAAGTAATCCTTAAGCATCCGTCGCTCTCAGTGGGTGGTCACCGAAGATCGACCTTCGGTTAGCATTCACCAACCGGTTTCAGATAGTAGCCATCGAACCAACTCTAACGATGGGATGGATAGCACTTAGCAAAACTTATAACTGGCAACCTTACAGAGTTTCGTTTTCTTCGCACACTAAAGTACAAACAAGCATACTGCTCTTTTCTGATGCTTCGCTTTCACCTTGAAAGCAGTAAGCGTTCGATTCGTGTTCAAGCGGAAACGAATGCAAACAGAGAAACAAAGCCAGATGCGCATCTTCCCCTTCATGACGCCTCTGTTATCAGAGAAGTACATCGATAAATGATACACATTCAAAATGCAAATGAGTATAATACAGTAATTCATACTGTTGCGACTAGACACTCGCAAAGATATCACATCATACAAAATCACGTTACTAATAGTTTAGAAGATACCATACAAACAATTTTAGTCGTTACAAAAACCAGCCGTTATCATCAATATAGTAAACGATCAAACCACCATATTTTCTGAGTCCGTAGAAGTTATAAATAATTCTGTCAGTATTGGTGATGCTCGGATGCTACATATCTATTCGACTTACTGATTAGTGACAGATAAAGTTTTGTCCAACCTCGACTTTTTCATGCATTAATGCGTTGCTTTGCTGATTCTGTGTGGCCAAGTTGCTCAACTCAGTATCTTTGCGTTGTTTATATTCACAAATTATGCGTTCCGTTTCATGTCTTATGAAATTTCGTTCGGTATCTAGCTCTTTAACCAGTGTCTTCTGAAGAAGGAATGATGGCCGAAGAAGAAGAACTATCGAGAAAAAATTACAGTTATAAGGTAAACATTTTGAATCAAGAAGAAAATACTATATTAGTCAGTACGAATTTTTTAAAAACTATCTTATTGAAATATGAAAGCGTCAACTGACCAGTTTCGTTATTTCATTTAGTGGATAAAGAACCAAATCATCATTGTGCTCGTGCTCATTCTCATGCACGCCATCGTGATCACTTACATTATCGTTCTTCGAGTGATCATTCTTATCATTAATATTCTTTGCATCTCTATGTAGCATTTTCTTTTGTTGATTCTTCTCACTAATAATATCCATCACAATTCTGTCTGCATAATTCGAATTGTTGTGAGCATTATCGCTTCTCGTCGTCGAAAACTTATCAGACTGAATGAACGCCAAATGACCATCTGCGCAGCCAATATATAACAGCGAACAATCATCGATGGATGCACAAAGCTAAAAGAAGCACTCACAAATGAACGCTTGAGGAAATAAGCAGTACGCAAAGTTTCTAACAGTCTTGTTTTATTAGTGCCTTGATCGACCGGTTGATCGGTCGTTGGCCACAGAAGAACACAAGTGAAGACTGGCTACCCCCTTCAAAAATGGGGTGCTGACTCAGAAGGCATAATAAAGAATTGAACACGAGATGAATAATGAATTGCTCAGCTGACCACTGTTATCTCAGACGAAATATGCGTATGCAACAATCGAATATTTTCGAGAACATCATATGGCAAATAGACGATATGACCGGTTGATGAACCAATGAAATGACCCTTTTCAGCGGTCACCAACGATGTTGACTGACCACCAGAAAAGCTTATTTGAGCACTGTGTCCACTGACTTGTTCGATTTCCTTGAGATAAAACGAAGAGAAGTGGACAAAAGTTTGGATTGAAAAATGACTCTTTAGAGAAATTCTTCTGAAGGAATCAATAATCTCTGTCCGGTTGATTGGATTCTAGAATAATTTCCAATCTCCTTAAAATCTTTAGACTCTTGAATCTAATCATCTCCAAATTTGTGTGGCCATTCATTTCCTGAAGAGCAGCAATAATATGAAAATAAGTGAACTTGAATCTACTTTAGCATTCAAAAATTTTGTGATGATAAATTTTTTGTTGAGTGCGTAAACGATGGCAGCTGCATTAGAAGTTGCGGCAGTAGGATGTGCATCCTCGACGCTGATGTCAACGAAGAAACGCATTTTCATTTGTAAATGCCAAACAACCATTTTTGTTGACACATTTATCAACGATACGCAATCGTTCTGTGTCAGCACACCCAAATAATCACCGTTCGTCGACCACTTCAGGGAATGAATCGTCTAAAAGTTACTTTCAAAAGTTTGTTTCGAATGGAATGATCGGTAAGAATAATCAATTTACAGTATCTGGTAAACGTATATAAATGATGTGAGATAAAGAAATCTATTCACACATCCAATTAGTCACCGACCTGCTTGAAATGAAATGGCAGTTTTGTTAGCAACTCCAAATTGTTTAAACTATAAATCATCAATACATCATCAACACAAATTGCAGCTTGTTGCTGTTTTGCAAATGAGTTGACTGCAATCTGAATTTTAAAAAATGTTGATTTCAACTCGACGCACAAATTGATGATTTCAAAGGAACCTTTCCAATTCGACATCCTTTTATAAAGGAACGAGCTCGACGAAGTGAATGATAGACTATATGGAAGATAAGAATCTCATTCGCAAACACAATCAACAATGAATGTCCACTCGAAAGAAATGTCACTGAAATTGCACCCTCGAAGATTCCGTATGCAATTAACATTCTGCAAAAGTACGGAATCAGCAGCTGAAACTGTCTCAAAAAAAAAAAAAAACTGCACTCGTTTGCAACACACAAACGTGACAATACTCCAAGCGCTCTAGAAATTGTTCCACAGCTGGGCTAATCATATTTCACAGAAGGATAGTAACAAATATCGATCCAGCAATGTTTTTCCCGAGCATTCCATCCCAGTGGAGCAAATTTGACTATTTTGGTACTGTTCGAGCTGTCACGTAACCTCAAAGGACATGTCACCAGTTCATATTATAGTAAACGATCAACTTTGACTGAGTCGACGATACAATTATAAGGCCGGACGAGTCAAGCGATGCAATTCGTTTGTGTTCTTGCGAGATGTGCAACGATCGAATCGGTTGGCTATGCTTCATTAAGAGCACTTGCGCTCCTCGACCACAGACTATATCCGGATATCTGTATTGTACGTTTACAATATTCTTATTAATCATATTGACCATTTTAATTGTGATGCACATTTTAATATTATAAATGATAATCGTTAGAGCGCAATAATTGTCATTTAGAAAAGCAATCATTAAAAAGCAACCAGTGACCTTAATGAGCCATACCAAATGGCTGCTCCATCACTGTATATAAAATTCTCACCAGATGAATCCAAACAGAATGCTTCAATACAACATGACGGTTGTTGTGTTGTTGTTGAAATCTGAACAATCAAATGAAACAAATAATCACATCGTCACCAACCACATGATAATAACCACTGACACTAACAGCTAATAGCAACAATAACACAACATACAACAACGCTAATCGCCATATCCCAATGACATTCACCGTTCTTAATATCGAATATAAATACCAACAGATCAGCGATTATACAAACAAATTTCTCAGCTGTTGCATAAATTGATGTTACCGGCAAACTGCTATCTTCCAATAGCCTAGAGTAGTAAAATTAGCAACAACAATGATACGAATCAATTCTGCAAACATTTAAAAACTCATAACTGACTGATCATTGAGTTCTCGCAAGTCGATAACTGAAACCGGAGTTGATTCTCTGTAAAGTCTTATTTGACATGATCGCATTCCGAATGCCACAGTCACATCATTCGACCAATCATGACATTGCACATCGTATATCCAAAAATTGCAATAAATTGATTATAAGGATGCCGTTGGTAGCAATCACTATCACAACAATAATAAATGTTTACATCTATTTCTGAAAACCTTTCGATTGTTCCACCACAAGCGCGCATTAAAATCGCCCGATTTTTGCATACCAAACATGTAATACTATCATCGGCGGGACACAATGAAAACTGATACCAGAAATCGCTTGCTGACTAAAACATGCCTAGTTACAACAATATCTTAAGAACAAATGGTGACAACAACAATTATTATTATTATTATCACATTACCAATGCATTTCTATTGCCAATCGACACTAATTCATTGATATCGAGTTTAGTATCAGCTAATAACTTTCCATCGAACAATGTCAAGCATTTCATTTGCATCAGCTTATTACTATCATCTTCAGCAATCAACCAGATGCATTCGTTCGTTGACGAGATGCGCATTTGACTAACACTTGCCATCATATCGATGCCATAGTTGCCGATCGTTTGAAACGTTTCACAATCAAATATCATAATCATTCGTGTTGCATTCGATGCAGCACCATTTTGCTTGCTATTCATATTTGCATCATTATTATCATTATCACTATCATTAACAGTTTTGCTATCATTCGTTGTTTCAATGCAAACTGTCAAGTAGAAATAATCCGGTGAAATTTGCATCGCATTTATCATTCCACCCACATTGAAACCGCTGACTGAAACATATAATAAAGTTGAAAAAAATAACGTTTTGTTTTTTTTTTCAGAAGAGAATGTGATTCCGATTACCGCTGTACACATAAACGACTTGAAAAATTGAACGGTTTAACAAAAAACATTTGATTCGACTATTTTTTTTGTCACAAATACTTTATACCTTTTGGTGATTGTTGTTTTGGCTCAAGGTGTTGTATGAATGTGGAATCTGCGAAAATAATCGATGTTTTATAACCGAACGTCAAAAACTTAAAATCACCACTTTGAATAAAATGCTTAGCGTTTAATACGCTCGAAGAAAACATACTGCTTAGTGTCGATGAAATAATGCGGATATTTCTCAGCAATTTCCTGAAATGATAAGAAGAAAACTGAAATTTTCTGACATCAACATTTCATGTTGCTAATAATAGGTAGAAGTGTACTCTCAAATCGAACCCTCAATACAACAGTAAATATTTTGATGATCTATCTATAGATATTCATGCATGTGTAGCTGACATAGACGAGGTCTCACTCTCAAGCGAGAATGAGACCCGGTATGAACTAAGGCAGGTTGAATTTGTCGAATACTAAACGAGGTGGGAAATAAACAAGAATTAATCAGATGATGACGAGACGAGATGAGGAACGATTACATGAATTTTAAATTGGACAAACAAGAAATGATGCGATTTTTCGGACGTTATCGTAAAATGTCTCGTTTGTACGGGTTCACCCTTCTAAGATTCGCCAAGATTACTTTGCGTCGCCAGAAGGTCCGCAGTCCACTTTGCATTTCAGTGCACACTTCGACTACCAAAAAATATTTCACTCTCCAAATCAATTGTCACCCGTTACTTCACGTAATATTCAATATTCTAATCATTCAAATTTTATCTGTCGTCATATTCCCCTCGTGGACCTTTATTGTCAACAAACGCATTTGTTCACTTAATCACTTGGTGATTACAATGAGTGCATACCTTGAAACCAAGTTATTTCTCGAATGAAAAAAATTGCACTCTTTATCAGCACTTCTTACGTAGCTATCAAACCGGTGTTCAAGAAGATTTGCACAAACAAAAGAATAACATAGGCACTTATGGAAACGAAAGGTGTTGTGAGGCAGGGGTAACCTTCCAGAAGCGGAAGCAAAACTTCAAGGGCAAATTGCAGGGGATGAACCTTCCGTAAACTCGTTTGCATTGAATGGTAGTGCGAGACAGTAAACTGTTCATACTTTGGGACTGCGTAACACTGATGTTTTGGACACCTGTCGATTATTACAGCTATAACCCCTCTACCACCTTCAAACGTTGGAAGTCATTCAAGGTTATTCGTCATTTAAGGGTTAATGTCATTTGAGAAATCCAACGTTATTACTTTTACGGGAAATATTTTGACTCGCTACTGAAAAGGGCCAATTGATACAACCAAAGTTTTTCAAATAAAAAAAACAGTGATAAATGGAGATATTCCAGGTAATGTTCATTCAATAAAATCACCTTCAGTATCAGTCATAGCTCACGGAGGAATCATTTTTATGCAGTCTTCTTGATCGTCCTCACGACTGCCCCATCGTATAATAAATTGCCAAAAGGAAACTAATCAGACAGCAGTGATATAGTCAAAAGAAGTTGTCTTCTAGCCAACCCTGGACGTGCAAGTTGATATTGGGATAGTCACCGTCCTCATGCGGCTGCTTCTTGAATCCAATCATGACCAAAACTTTTCGGTATGTTAAGTCACATGGATGCATTTTTCAGTGAGGCTGGGGCATAAAATCTATGGCAAGTGACATGCGTTGGAAATTTGATTCTGGTAACGCCATTAGGATTTGGAGCTATTTGTTCTGCTCATTTTATATCTGATCCTTTCAGAAATTTTTTTTGTTCCACAATATTTCGTTCCACAATTCCACAATACGAAAAGAAACCACAATATGTTCGACGTTTTTGCGTTTATAAACTTTGAACTTTTACAACTTTTTTAGAATATAAGGAACTGACTTTGTATGGAGGTTATTCACGTTCTTTTAGTTATCGCTACTTTTTTCGTCATTTCTCGTTAATTTCTTACAATTACCGAGAAAACAAAACAAGGAACGATCAGGTGATTTTAAACGCGATGAGAAACGATCAAGTCGAAAATAGACGAGACGTGAAACGAGCACAGCGATCACAAGAAATGGCATTTCTCGCCTACGGTTTGAACTTGAACCGTACCTTGAACCAATTTGGATCGTATTTTTTCAGTTTTTGTATAAGATCGCTTGTTAGAAAACGTTTTTGTTGTTGTTCAGTTTGGTCGTCGCTCTCTTCAGCACTACTCGATCGGTTTTGTTTTCGTTGTTTTGATAAGGCGAAATCGAGGCCAGCAGAGGTACTGACCAAAGATGATGACGATGCTGATGAAAGTGATAAAGATATGAGTTTATCACTTGTTCCTACGGATGGCGATCGTCGTGGCAAAGTGCTTGCAACACCCACATTCACCACTGCAACCAGTCAATTGGAAGAATCGAGCGAGCACTGAACGAATCTTACGAAAATCGTAAGTGTCAAATCAGATCAAGTCATTAAATTCGTTTTTGATTTCGTTTAATATTACACGCACCTGACTGAGTACTCTTTTTACGAGAAACATTTGCAGTAGATGATGTGTTGGCTATTGATAATTTCTTGTTGGTTGTCCTCGACGATGCAATTAGATTTGGTTCAGAAGATGCGATTCGTAAACGAGAACGGTGAACCATTTGTTGATGCTGCTTGAATGCGCAACGGCAATCACTTGATTAGACGCAATCCGCTCTTATTACATTCTTAAATTGATCGAAACTGTAATTAATGACTCTACGTACTTTTATTACAAAACATATCCTAACATATCGTACTCGAATAAATCGATCCATACGCATTCATAATCATATGAAAAATCATAGCCTGGCTTAGGCTCGGTAACAATAATGATTGAGCCCGGATATGAATTGACTTCATATTTTGCTTCACTTATTTAACTTATCTAAAACATCGTCGACACTGATGACATTTTCACAAAATATTTCATCGATACCAACGTTATCCACTGACTGAGCAAAATATGACTGAATTATAAAGCGACTTGCAGCAATTGATTTTGATAATGGATGCATTTGTACTGCACTAACCAACCGAAAACATCTTAGCAACACCAATAAACTCTCTCACTTATATCTATGCTGGTGCATAAATGTAACCCACTCAGTTCCGCATCAATGATTGATAAAAAATATTCCACTTCATTCCATTCCGTTAAGTTTGTGATTTTTCAGTTAATGCATCTCACTTTCAGATTCAATTTTCAATTTTGTCAGCTTAGCAACCGATCATTTCGTTGTTACTGGTTGCTGTTGCAAACAAACAATCGAGTTTTACATTGAATGCAAGTGTATAGCTGACGCTTGGCAACATGCATGATCACAAAATAGTCACCTCAATTACCATATCAGTAATAACATAACAACATTATACTAGTAGTCGACAAATTATTATTAATATTGAAATTATCAGTGTTAATTCTTTCTCTTTATATCATATAATATAAATACACGGATATGAATATTTACACCAATCAAAATTAGGTCAACCGACCAATGTGATCATTTTAATGGTGGTCGCATTTCGTTCTTCTGTTCAAGTTACCATTCACTGCGCATTCCCAACCTCTCAACCGTCTTCCATTCCATCGTTTTATCAGAATTTTATTGCAGAATTTACAAATCAACATGCAGTTTATATTATATAACATCATATCGATTATGCTCATATTCCACTTCCAATCCTTACTGTTTATGTATTGTACTCACACTAATCTTCTGTTTTCTTGTAACTGATTAATCTTATTATGATCACGCTCTTAACATTTGATTCTCATTTGTATGATTCTCATTACTGTTAGAATAACTGTTATTATCAATCTCACTATCTTTATCGGTCCTTATAGAATTTCCTAAACTGGAGTCAATTTTTCATATTACCAACCACTTCACAATACTACTTCCAATGTAATTAATGGTTTGTTCACGTATTAAACATAAATAAAAGCAAGCATTTGAGTCAACTAGCAACAGATAACAACGTTTTATTGAATCAGTGACTAAATAAACAACAATCATATAAATATACTAAATTTTAAAGTATGAATAATATACTGAAGCAATGAAATCACAAACGACACAACCATCCAGCACAGCAAAATTAAAACTAGCTGAAGTGAATAATTAGAATCAATTTTTTTAAATTGCTCAGTCAGCTCATGATATATGTCCTCACCAACAATCCAGAGTGTCTAAAAAATGTCGTTGCTCATTCATTCTTAATATCGTTCAACAATGCTACAAGTAGTAGCCATTTATGAATACAAAATGAAAAGTGCCAAGGTGAATAAATAACAGAAACTAACATTCAAAATGACCGAATTTGTACTATATATA